CACACACACACACACACACACACACACACGTGTGCGCGCGCACACGTGTAGTATTGTATATTTCGATGTTCTAGCGGAAATTCATTCGATTTTGCTCATCCCGTCGATGGAAGTAGCGTGAGGATGCTCTCTCTCTCTCTCTCACACACACACAACAAAAAAAATAAAAAATAAAAATCGTTCGATTTTGCTCATTCGATCGATGGAAGTACCTTCTCTCTGAGAGAGAGAGAGAGAGAGAGCAGATAAGTCTCCTCTACTTCCATCGATATGATGAGCAAAATCGAATGAATCTTCTGCTAGAGCATGGAAATATACACTACCTGGTTGAATATGGCCACACCTGCCGGACAACACTTTCGATGGTGATCGATGGAAGTGCACTCTCTCTCTCTCTCTCTCACACACACACACACACACACACACATTCCATCAATAGGATGAGCAAAATTGGAATGAAACTTCCTCTGAAATGTGGAAATACACTGCCACTTTTGAGCAAAATCGGAATGAATCGTGTGTGTGTGTGTGTGTGTGAGAGAGAGAGAGAGAGAGAGAGAGCCGGTAAGTCTCCAACCTCGCGGCTCGCGTCATGCTACTTCCATTGATAGGATGAGCAACATCCAATGAATCTTCGGCTAGAACATGGAAATATACACTACCTGGTTGAACATGGCCGACACCTTCGACGGCATGGCGCGAAAAAAAACCATAGAAATAAAAAAAAAACATTCATAAAGTCGTGCCAACACCAACCCAAAAAAAAATGGCCGTAAAGTTTGCGTAAACAGAAAACTGCGCCGGGCCCACGAAGCCGTGCCAACACCAACCCCCCCCCCAAGAAAAAAACCGTTAACAAAAAACCGCGCCGGGCCCGCGCGGGAAAAGGTCTCAGCGGGACTTTTATGTGAGACCTGCTGTTGCCTTTAAGAGTACAAGTGGACCCCCCGCAGCCACGCCGCGGCCAAGGACGACGCCAAAAACATTTTGCAAAACACCCCAGACATCTGTTGGACCCCATCTTTGCAATGCACCTCACCAGACACCGTCCAATTTTGCAAAATGCCCCGGTAGTCGCCAACATTTTGTGGGTGCAAATGCAAAAAAAGCGCCCAAATTCCAGGGACATATTGACATATATCCCAACATGTGGGGGTATTTGGCCAATTACCACCCCCCCCAAAAAGGCCAACCGCATCTTCTCGACGTTTGGAGGAAGATATGCCAGCTCTCTCTCTCTCTCTCTCTCTCTCTCTCTCTCTCTCTCTCTCTCTCTCTCTCTCTCTCTCTCTCTCTCTCTCGCTCATGTGTGCGCGCGCGCCCCCTTGTGCAACCTCCTCCCCCTATGGCAACGTCCTCGTCCTCCCTCATGACCCCCTCCCGCTCGTACGAAATCCTCCCCGTAGCACGACCTCGTCGTTCCCCTGCCGCATGACCTCTGCAACCTCTCGTCCCCAGCATGCGATCTGCTCCTACCCCTCCCATGACCCACTCCTCCCCTTTGCACTGCGTCCTCCCCCTTGTGCGACCTTCTCACACCTCTCTTCCGACCTCATCCAGCTCCTCCTCCTCCTTACACCACCTCCTCCTCTCGCTCATGTGTCCTCGTCTGGCCTCCTCAAACCACTCGCGCGACCTCCTCCAACCTCCCTTGACCTCCGCTGCAACCTCTCGTCCTCCTCTTGCGACCTGCTCCTCCCCCTCTTCCGACCTCCTCCTCTCCCTTGTGCCACCTCCTCTTCCCCCTTGTGCAACCTCTTGCTTGTCCTTGTGCGAACTGCTCCTCCCCCTGCCACTCCGTGTTCCGATCTCCCCCTCCCCCTTACGCAACCTCTGCGCGACCTCCTCCTCTTCCTTGTGCGACCTCTTCCTACCCCTCGCGCGACCCCCTCCTCCCCCCGTGCGACTTCCTCCCTCTCTTCCGACCCTTCTTCCCTCGCGCGACCTCCTAATCCTTGTGCGACCTCCTCCTCCCCCTCCTGCGTCCTCTTCCCCCTCCTCATCCACCACGCACGAACTCCTCCCACCTCTATTCTGACCTCCTCCCCCTTGTGCGACGTCCGCTTCCCCTCGCACGACCTCCTCCTTGTGCGACCTCCTTCTCCCCCTCGTGCCACCTCCTCCAATCTGTCTTCCTACCTCCTCCCCCTTGTGCGATCTCGTCCTTCCCCTCTTCTGACCTCCTCGTCCCGCTTGCACAACCTCCTCCTCCCGCTTGCACAACCTCCTCCTCCCGCTTGCATAACCTCCTCCTCCCACTCTCCGACGGCGGCCGAATAGTAGCATGCGAAAAACCACCCAAAAGGCGGGGATTAAAAAAAAAAAAAGGAAGCGACTCCTCCTCGTGCGACCTGCTCCTCCCCCTCTTCCGACCTCCTACTCTCCCTTGTGCGATCTCCTCCCACTGCTCCTCCTCCTCCTCCTCCTCGTCCCCCTCCCGCTCCTCCTCCGCCAAACAACGTGACAAAGATCCTGCCATAGCCCCGCTCCCGCTCGTTCTCCTGCTGCTCCCGCCTCTCCTCCTCCCTCTCCTACTCCCGCTCTCCCTCCTGCTGCTTCTCCTTCTCCCGCTGCTTCCCCTGCTCTTTCCCCTGTTCCTCCTGCTCCTTCTCCCGCTCGTCCTCGTGCTCCGCCCGCTTCTTCTGGTCCGCCTATATCTCCTCCCCCTCCTCGGCCTCCCGAAGGCTCGTTAACCCCCTCCCAGTTTCCCCTCCCGCTCCTCCTCCCGCTCCTCCTACCGCCCCTCCTGCCGAGACTCCTCCGCCCCTTCTCATTTTTCCTCGTGCTCCGTCTCCCGCTCCTAACCCCCTCCCCGTTTCCCCTGCCGCTCCTTCTCCAGCTCCTCCTCCCGCGGCTCCTCCGCCCCTTCGCATTTCCCGTCCCGCTCCTTCTCCCGCACCTGCTCCCGTTCCTCCCACTCCTTTTCCCGCTCCTTTTCCCATCCCTCCTCCTGCTCCTCCGGCTCCGCGTCTCGCTCCTCCTCCCGCTCCTCCTCTGCCAAACAACGGGACAAAGATCCCGCCATAGCCATCTCCTATGAAAAAAACAAAAGAAAAATGGTCCCCCCACGTGGCTAGCAGAGAGAGAGAGAGAGAGAGAGAGAGAGAGAGAGAGAGAGAGAGAGAGAGAGAGAGAGTTTTCCATAGATAGCATGAGCAACGCACCGGCCAACAGGCAATTCTCATTTGCTCATCCTATCAATGCAAATAGTGTGAGGCCAGGCGCGGGGTTGGAGACTTACCTGCTCGCCGGTGTCTCTCTCTCTCTCTCTCTCTCTCTCTCTCTCTCTCTC